TGAACTGATGTACGTACGTACGAAGTTCTACGTCGTTACTGACTGACTCGATTGAACGCTATATTAGTTTCCTAAGCTATTCTGGTACCCCGAAAGCTAGAACTGCACAGCGACTTGAACACCAAAGAGAAGACGCAAGCAATCGATAAGACTTATCAACCAATAATATGCTTCACGACCGCAACACAAAAGATTGATCTTTTGCAAAAGACTTTTCACTCTCTTTAGCAGCCGAAAATGTGGTGTAACTGATATCAATAGTTTATGCATGATCCTAGGAAGCCAAAAGTTACGTTAGGTCAGTATTTGTAGGGATATAGTGACTATGTGTGTTAGAAAAACTACTTTACTAGTCTCAGATTACAAAATAGCATAAAGCTTGGATACGAATCTATCGCAGTCCTTGATGTAAACTGCAAAGAAGTTTAAACATCTAGATTTAACTTCATACCTGTTTAACCCGTTATTATATACCTGGACTCAGTTTTTATTAGTTAATGCGTAATGGCTATTGAATTTGAATTTCAGTGCGAATACCATGTTAAGAAGTCCTAAGTTCTACTACTGATCACAATCCAGACATTTGAGATTTTATTGTTTTGCTCTTGAACACAATTATTTACCTTTTGAGTGAATCAGACCTGCATTAGCTGTGTTATCTGGATCGTATCGCAAGAGGCTTTTTATTTTTATTACTTGTATATAGTTTTTGTTGTAGGTGACAATTTAACTATGAGGAAACAATTTTCGAAGCTATCGTTCTACGATTTTCCTTATATCTATTGATTGGATGTTTAATAAGTACTTTGGTTTTATTATTTTCGTATTACCCTAGTTTCAAGCTTTTATTTGAACCGTAAACTTTTGCTATACCATTTTCTACTCATAAACTAGAACCGATTATATGTTCACCCAGTACTCCGTTTTCCCCATCATTAATTTAGTTGTTTCATGTTAACACTTAGCTGTTTCACTGCGCGGTCTGGTCTTGTATGTATATAAATAAATGTCTGAAATATGGTAGCGATCATGGACGGGTGATCATTGGTCTTGTGTTCTTCCTCTTCATTCGGGGCTAGTTAGTGTTGAGCCGATCGTCAAGCATAGAGTACCAGTCTTCCTCCTCTTTGCTATGTATTGGTTGATTATGGTCTTCTGCGTGTATTGGCGGGTGGTAAGACATAGCAGTTCCCATTTTATTTCTTCTTAGTGTTGTTACCTTTTTTTAGTTGTCTGTGTTCTACTTAGAACTATATAACTCACCCACCCATAAACACTTAAATACATAAATTATGAATTCTTTGTTATGCATAGTTTTGATTGATGATATCCAGGTGGCCGAAATTGTATGTCATTATCTCAGACAACTTCAATCAACTTAACCCATTATGTATTAAGTTTACTCTAGAATAAATTAGTGCTCTTTTTTACCAAGTATGCTTTTTTTAACAGTAAAGTATTATGACCTCAGCGTTTTGCTCTTTTCTTTAACACTTCAAAGGAAGGCGCTTTGAAAATTGTTGATCGTGTAAAAAGTATGTTCAAGTTGGCACAGGGCGAATATGTAGCTCCAGAAAAAATAGAAGTGATTTATCAGAACTGTCAACTTATAGACCAAATATTTGTTGATGGGAAACCGGAACAAAATTTCCCTGTCGCTGTTGTCACTCCGAATTTCGTAAACTTACGTTCATGTATTAATTCTTACCTAAAATCTGGTTGTAATGTAGATGATGGGAAAATATTCGATCTGAAACCATCAGATATTTCTCGATTATCTGACACCGATATTTGCAAAAACATAGAAATTCGACGATTTGTTTTGCGAAAAATGAATGAAGTCGCAACAGAAAAGGGATTAAAGATATTTGAAATGGTAAGTGTTGAAGTTATCTGGTAATTTCCACCTTATCACTGAAAGGACTTGCTTACATCTTATTTAGCTTCTAATTCTCGTGTTTACATACCTAAACTTTTCAATGTAGATTATGTTTTGTTAATTGTAGCTTAGACCGTTTACTAAAAGTCGGTTATGTAAGATATGTGGTTTTTTATTTTGATTGGAACAAAAGCCGCTACCCTGATAATGTCGATCCAGTATACTGCGTTTCGATACACAAACTGAATTTTTGGGAAAATTTCAACATTACGACTTAACATTTCTAAATAAAAGTGCCACAACAGAACGAAACGGCCGTCCAGCGCTTCCAGGTTTTCCATAGTGATCTAGCTTCAATTGACTCATGATCTCAACCATTAAAATTACTATAATATCCATAAAAACCCTTCTCTGACAATAAATTATTGTTGACAGAATGTGGAAAACTTCCCCACCATCTTATACAATAAATCTACAGGCGAATATAAATGGGGGAAAAGTTAGTGAGAATTGATCGTGGTTATCTACAAAAAAGCCCTTCTAAATTAACTGTTGTGAACTTCAGGGTGACAGTATTAGTCATAGACTTGTGAATGTAGTTGGAAAACAATTTTATAGTCTGAAAGACGACGCATGCTTTATCTACCTATGAATTAATATTTCTAAATCGGGTAAATATAGTACATTCGTGGATGTTCTGACATTCGGGTTAGGGTGAAATTTTCATAAATGAGGTGTCTTCTACATGTTGACAAATTGAGTCATGTTGGAGTAAAGATGACGCTTTTTTTGCTGTAATTAATAAAAGACATTTTTAACTCATATATCCGATCCAAGTTGATGGTTTTAAATTTTTTTCAGGTACAATCTATCTACCTAAATGATAATCCATTTACTGTTGAAAATGGATTGTTAACTCCAACCATGAAAATATCACGTCAAAATGCCCGTCGACACTTTCAATCTATCGTTGAATCACTATACTCAGAAAGAGATGTTCTGAAGGTCAATGCATAAGTAACATTTGTAATTAATAGCACAATTTATCGCACTGCCATTGTTTACTATCTCAAGTCAAAAAATCACGTCACATACGGCAATCACCCTGTTGTTCGTATATAAACAAACACAAGGGGAGCACCCCATCGTTATTTCTTTTTTTCTACTACAATTATATTGTTTATTGACTTTTTTAATTCGTGCAAAACCATCCATATTATATATGTATTTCTATTTTATTCAGTGTATCCTGGGTGACAATTTACCGTAAGACTCATTCCTACATATTTATTTAAAATGACCTATATTTCTTCAATTGAAACAGTAAATTACAAAAATCCAACCACGCAAGATAGGTAGTGGGAATATAACGAATATTGTAAAGCGACTTAAAAAGAAAATTCATCAAAAAATATTTTAGTTACGAATATGTTGCCGTATTTACCGGTAATAATTCATGATGGATAGCCAAAAAATTAATTCAATAGTCATACACATTGTTTTACACCTCAAATTGTGCCCATAGTTCATTGCTTGATGTCATTATCATTATTGTATTCAATGTGCGCTTAGCTGCACCTCAACTGTTGAAAGTTCGTAGCAAATGAGTTAGCAAGTTATCACTGTTCCAGTTGATTTAACCGGCAAACCTCTTTAGCTCGTATCCGAAAAACCGACCCTTACATCAGGAAAAACTGCTACGTCGGCAAAGATTAGACTTTACATTTAGACATTTTGCAACTTAGTTTGGAATTCATTAGTCGAGGTTTCTGCTAAAGAGATATACTACTGTTTATCTCGCGTAGTGATCATCTACTTTAGGATCTTACCAAGTGAAACTTTGCAGATGAGCTGATCGTGTCAGTGCTTGAATGTATATCATAGCATCGTGTTAACTCTGTAAAACATGAACCTCCTATTTAGTTTTGTATGTAGTACTTGGTACTAATCACGATTGTGGAACGTTGGTTATAAAAGCCAGATAGGAAGTATGTTGGCAGGATTTTTTCAGCATGGAGGGAAGCACCTTTGCCTACTTAATTTTAGCAAGCACGGTTGAGCATTTATAGTCAGATAGAAAAATAAGCTTAAGGCAGATAATAAGTAGAGTGATGAACAAATATATGCACGTTTGAGAACTGATCAAGGTTAAAACTGAATAGTCGACAGCCAAACATGTGTATACAATGGCTTATGACGATCAGATTAATTTGTCTTTCCAAAAGTTAGAATAAGTTCATGTATTTTTTACAAAACAGCATTACTAGTATATGTTCGTATCAACATGAGGTGGGTTAGATGTCTAAATCAAGAGCTGGCAGTCGTATCACTTCTAGTCAATCATGACACACCTTTTACGAACCTGATTTGTTAATTACTCAAATCACTACGACTATTGGGACTTTCCTCGAATCTCCTAAAACTAGCATCAATACCTATTTTCCAGTATTTTTAACTGATTTGCAGTGTAAAGATTGGCTTTTTTTATCAAGACCTTCACTGTAACTCAAGGAGTAGATGCAACATAACCGAAAACACTAAATTTTTCCATTATCATGCTTATACTACCGGCCTCCATCATTCCCGTTTAACAAAAATTGAGTTCTCTTTACTCTAGTGCATTTTTTTCAGGGCTGTGATATATGACCAATTTACACTTATGGTAGCGTCAGTCGGAAGTAGGAATGTACGTTTAATAAAACTACACGACAATAAGTATCGTACAGAGTTACTATAACTGATTTACTAGAAATTTATCAATTCGAGAAACGATGTATATGTACATCAAACTCGAACTAGTAACTCTCTGCATCTACATGTTTTGTATGGAGATATCACTTTATTTAACCTTAAACTGTATAATTTCATATTCCATCTGCATGGTCGAGCTAGATACATTGCGAATTTGTTACTTACCTCTGACAGGTAAACTACGGATTTTTTTTAACAAGCGATTAAAAAGTCAGCCGTTGATATTTACTTATGTACGACTTAGTAACAAGTAATTAAGTTACAGCTAAATGTAATAAATTTTTGAGACAGAGCAAGTGCATTCGCCATTAAAAAAAATTCAAAAAACAAATGAATAGAAGTCATGCGGTAATATGTAGTCGGTTATAATGTTCGACTATTTATTTTCTTATGAAATACAGTAAATGTACAAATTTATAGTGCATAATTTAGCATTACGTCTTGTTTGGCTAGTTCTAGCAACATAGGATCATCGAAGAATTTGTTGATACTTACATCTTCATTCAAACCCTAAAAGGAAATAGATATTTTTTAGCATAATAAAGGTATAAATTGAGGTGAGATGTTAACGATTGTATAGATTGTTTTTGGTGTGCATCAGTGAAGACTAATAGTAAATGACAAAATGTCCCCGAAAAGGTAAAAAATTATTGCTCTAATAACCCGACCGTCGCTGCTACACTGACGTGGTGGTCGGGTTTGCCTATTGTGATGAACCAATCGAGCTATACTAAATGGAACAATTGTTCCGTAAAGTCCTATCATGCCAGAAAAGCCAGTTGAAAAGCACTAAGACTAAAAGCAGCAAACCCAAGATCCGAGGGCGAAGTTCTACAGCTGACTGTACAGAGGTGTGACGGCAGTAACGTGTTCATTTCAATAAACTAGCATAACATCGATGCTTCCCTCCCACAAGGAGGGATGCGGTTAGAAAAGGTCGACCCTAAAAATACACACCTCACCATACCCCATGGAAATACATCTCTCTAAAAGCACTCTGGATCATTATATTCATAATCAGTTTCCCTCATCAATTCCTATTACTCCTCCCTATCCCGACTCTAAACTCCCTCCTAATGTGTCACTATGTCTAACGATTGTAGTACACGAGAAACTACCAGGTCAACTGAAACTCGGTTCCACACTACATAATGGAGTTTTCAAAGAACGTACTCTATGTCAAGTTGGTCATCAGGCCCCTTTGGCAAAGACACCAGAATCTCGTACGATTGGTGTATGATGTCAATCCGAAACATGCATACAGGATCAGAGAACGGTCAATCACTTGACCTCACCAAGCTAAAACTGGGACCGATGAGATACACTGGAATAGACCTACATACAATAATTGAGGTTCAGAAACCTACAGCTAAACTAAAACAAGGAAGAGCAGACAGTCTAGATGGATTGAACCAAAACGTTTTTAAGAACCGTGGTCTAGTTTAAGCGATTAGGTTGACTAATATTTCAGCAAAAATCTGGGAGTTGGACATAATCCCATCTGAGTGGTCGCAACACAGGAGTCAAAATCATCCTGTGATAATTATAGAGGGCTAGTTTAAGTAATATAGTGTCTGAGATACTAGCCTCAATGATTATCGGACGCCTAACAAAGACGCGTGAACTGCAAACACGAGGAAATCAGGCCACCTTCAAACCTGATCGTGGCTGCATCGACCACATCTTCACCCTTCGTCGGGTTCTAGAACACAAGCATGCTTATTGGCGTCCGACAACGATAGTTTTTCTCAACTTAAAAGCAGCATTTGACTCTGTAGACCGAGAGGTTCTGTGGTAGTGTCTGTCATTGAAAGGTGTACCTCAGAAGTACATAAACCTCGTGAAGGCTCTTTACTTGAACAGTACCAGTATAGTCGGAGCTTGCGGCGAACTGTCATCTGATTTTGCAACCCCAAGTGGTGTCCGGCAAGACTGTCCCCTATTTCCATTTTTGTTCAACTTCATAGACCTACTGCTGGGAATAACGCTCTCTTCGTCTGAATTTTCGGGCATTGATCTCCCTCCAGGAGGTCCACTTATCGACTTAGAATACGCAGATGATGAAGACGCCGATAAAATGCAGTTTATTGGTAGTACTGAGCAACAGTGCTATCATGTCTGGGATGCGTTCCTCCCCCTCTAAATGCAAGTTGTTGCGTCAGAACTGGCCTGCGTCAACATCTGAACTAAGGATAGGGAGTAAAGTAGTCGAACGCATCGACAACTTCGTTTATCTTGGAAGTCTAATCAGCCCCAATGGGTTGGTGTCTGAATAAATCTCAGCACAGATTCAAAAAGCTCATCTGGCTTTTGCCAACTTACGTCATCTATGGCTTAGGCGATATATCCGTCTATCAATTAAGGCACGAGTATACTGCTCAGCAGTTCGTTTTGTTTTACTTTATGGCTGTGAAACGTGGTCATCAAGAGTAGAAGACACTTGCAAGTTACTAGCATTTGATCACAGATGTCTTAGGAATATTGCCAGCATCTGTTGGGATCACCGGGTAAGTAATAGTGGGGTTAGACGCAGAGTATTAGGGAATTATGGTAAATCGATTGATGAGGTTGTAAATCTTCACCGACTTAGATGGTTGGGCCACGTATTACGCATGCCCGACCACCTATTATTACAGCGCGCAATGCTGACTGGTGTTGGAGACAGATAGGTTAGGGTCGATCAAACCAAAACGTAGCATCAGTCCATAAAGTCATTAACTTCTGGTCTGCCCTTAAACAGTGAGATTGAAATTACTTTATACCTCACTTTTTATGAACTAATTTCTCCTGCATCATATCCTTATACGGAATCTTTGTTTACTACTACTGAAGTAACTGGTTCTATGAACTTGGTGTTCATCTTGTTGTACTGATGAGATATGGCAACTTGGACCGATGCATATATCTGTCTGGTCCTACTCTGTAGCTGACTGATTGTTTCAATAAAGATTTGTAGTAGACAACAAAACAAGAGGCTGGCAAATAAAATGAAAACTTACAATCACTAGCAGTATTTATAGTTTCAGCCTGTATTTACATGTTCTAACGATTGTTTGCTTGTTACACTTTAGTGTAATGATATAAGTTAATATATAGATAGTCTTATCAAAAATAATGAACGATACTACAAGAAACATTTGTTCCAGTGTTTGTATAGCATATTTCTTGAGAATATGATGAAAACTCAAGAAATCATGTTTGCTTTATTTTCGTTTACTTTTCAAACACCCAAGACCACACTTCAATAATTTTACTAACCTTTCTTCTACGAGTTTTAACCATAAACTCCCGAGCCAAATGAGTAGCAGGTTGTGGGACCAAAGGCTGTATTTGAATTGAACGGTCGAGAGGATCTCCTGGAACCATTTGCCAGTGGTTAAAAACAAGCATACAAAATGCCTGTCCTTGAGAATGAGTTCGAAGATCTGTCTCGAATCCAAATGAATCAATGACGGGTACAAATGCACGGATAACATACAAAGGAGATCCAGATATAGGAGCATCATGTGTCACATGACCACTGAAAATTAAGTGAAAACAAGTTAACTTTGTAAATTTAATATTATTTTTCCGTTTATCGGGATTAGAAAAGCGACTTACACCTCTAACAAAATCTATGAAAAACAGTCTTCCTTCTATTATTTCTTAATCTGTTAATATGCCTACCAGTTTTACGATATAATCAATTTAAGGCAAGGAAATTTATGGATGCGATTTTTGTCAACCTTTTTTAATGTGGTGGTTGGGACTTAAACGAAACATTCCGAAGGTACTACATAAACCACCATATATACATGTAAATACTTATTTTCAAAGATACTCTATTCGCTAACACATCCATTACTTTCATCATGATGTAGCTATCAGATACAAATCTTTCCAGTACTTACCAGAGGTGTGCACACTTAACAGCTATACTTTTGTTGCATGAGGTGTAGTAATTATTAATTGGTTGATCAAACTAAGGTAGAAGGGAGATTTGACGTGTGACCTGGCTACTGAAATGTCAGTGTTCCTAATTCTAAGTCTCCACCCACATATGATCTGGATGTAATTCAACAAAACTACAGTATATGTTCAACGTTATTCTTAAGAAAGCTACAAAAACATTTTACAATTATACACACCAGATGAAGCCTAATTGTTGAACACTTCATAACCGTTGATCGTAGTGTTTCATAATTACGTGAATACAATTGTTGGATATCTGTCTGTACTATTCAATAAGTATTGGAGTGAATAACTTACCGACGACGAGCAAGAACTGTATATACCGCTGAAACACAATCCGCAGGCGCCTGTACCTCAACCAAGTAATAAGGTTCCATCAAGCGAGGTGTAGCCATGAGGAAAGCAGAGTAGGCAACTCGGCGAGCTGTAGGAATTATTTGTCCAGAACCCCGTTGGTGTGCTTCGCCAGAAATCAGAGCATCTAATATTTTAAATTTCACATTGCGAATTGGTTCGTCACACAGTGGTCCTTCACGTGTACCCCATTGGAAACCCTATATAATGTGGGATGAAAACATAATTAGTTCATGTATATTGACAAAATGTTATGTTAAAATACGAATATCCTGTATTCATAGAAATCGCTCATAAATATCTATCACAGATAATAAATAAATAATTATCCGTTTTTAGTACTTAATATGAACAAAATAATACATAACTATAGAAGCAAAATAATATAGAGCTGTAACTCACCTGCACGATATAATCTTTGACAGTAAGTAGTAAATTCTTATCAACTTCAGACGGTAATGTATCATCCATTAGTATATTCGGACCAGTAGCGTCTGGCCCAAAAGCCCATATAGACCTGTTGGACAAGACGCAGTAATAATAATATATACACAAATGACTAAGTTCCCTATTTACAATTTGGATAACACGAGTTACTACGGTATGTGTTACGTAATGTTAATTTGAGCAGATAAATACAAGAGTGGGATAAGGGATGTTTTCAGTTAATCAAAATAAGAGGTAGAACAACTTAATCGCTGTTGGTTTGGGGACCGTATGTTTACACTAGAAGAGATTATTTATAAGAGTTAAAGAAATATGGAAAGTAAATATCACGCTACAAATACAACCAGGACTCATGATGTGTTGCGCTAAAATGAATATTTAACTCGACAAAATTCTGAATTAAATTCATCATAATAACAAATAATACTTATATATGAAATATGAATTCGTAATGATAACTGTGGTAATAATATTTAATAAACATACTATACATAACGAAATTTAACAAGTCTAATTACCTGGAGGCAAGCAAATCCCAGTCATACTTTTTCTGGAAAAAGTCTCCGAGTCGCTTTTTTGGCCAAGTGATTTGCACAACCTTATTCTCTATGTCCTCAGCTAAACCCTTATCGAGTGGCTCAGCGATCATAGTTAACTTATTTCTGATTATAAAGTAAAGATTTGTACAGAATAGATTAAAAAGTTAGCACAACAAAGTCTTATGCATCCCAGATAAATCAAAAACAAAATTAAGTCATAATTTAAACGCAGAATTTTAATACAATCGTTATTATTTGATTTTTTGAACAGTATTATTATATAGAATAGATGGGATATGGCCATTAGTGAATCGTTCATCAACAATCAGTAGCTAGATGGATAACGCGATGGCATTTGAGGCGAATGGTACTGGATTTGAGTCCCAGTGTAAAAATCAACCCTAGGATGCAGGTACACTTTACTGACGAGTCCCAAAGAGGATGAGACACATCTTGAATACCGTCGCTAGCCCTGTCCATACAGGATACTCATATCCTAACCAAGAATGATTAAATTGCAGTCAAAAATATCAACGGGATAATCCAAACAATCTCAAATTGAACCAAGTATTGATATAGTCCTACCGAAATACTCACTTGGCACTTTTACCAAGTATTTCACACAAAGCGATAGTAAACTTTCAATAGAGAATTAGTGCAAATAATATGTTGGGAAATAAATAATGTCTTTAAGCCATGAATGTTCTTAGAAATCCACAGACAGATGTGTTACATCTCAGTCACAAATTTGTATAACCAATTATATGTAAGACTTATTTATGTGATGGTAATGCAATGCTCTGGTTTTCACTGCTTGACTGCAGTTTATTGAAGTGCAAAATTTACTTTCAATTACGAGTGCTAACATGCATAACATATACCTTAAGGAATTCTTGTAGATCACCTTCATAAAAGGTTGTTTGAAATGCCAGCTTAAAATAAACTTCATGTTTTAAACTTATGAAACTACTTGAAAAAAGAGTTTAACAAAATGAGTATTTATTTGAGAAAGAAATTTTTGAATAAAAAACTGGAAAACACATCATTTAATAAAAATCGTGTATTAACACCACGTTCACTGGAGAATCCTTAAGAAATATGGAATATTAAGAAAAGTTATATTTTAGCATTCAAAAAACTTATTACTTTTGGGAAAAACGACCACTCACAAATGTTTTGTTTCCTAATCAAAATAAGTTAATTATCTACAGAGAATCTGGTCGTGAGGATTAACGAAAACATTGTAGATTTCTATTATTTCCTCGACTAAGTTAAAAAAAAACCCACTTCTCATGCCCCTTATTGTATATACTCTCATATATGCATAAACTAATATTCATAATCTAAAACACTATACAACTGAATCTAAAATCTTTAGATTATGCTCTCATAAAACTAAATGGTTACACAAAATATTTGCAGTTTAAGAACTTCCTTTTAAAGTGGATAGAATAATCTCAAAACAGTTGAGCGCCGAGTTAAAGTAAAGCATAAACGAACATGTATATTCCATCATTTTGATTATATTTCCTTGAAAAAGATTGGAGGAGATTGCCAAGGGAAACGTTGAATCCAATTAATGAGATTCATACAAAACATAATTTCCCCCTGTCATATATTTATAGTTTATTGAGTGTCAACAAATATAACCAGTGAAACTTTTATTACATATCAGGGAACTAAATAAATGTGATAACAGAAATATCAACTTGAAGTCTTCTCAAAATGCAAACAAAAATGAGTTCGGAAATTATCTAAAGATTAAGAAACAGAATTTTTCACGAACACTAACCGTTGTGCAACCCCATCAGGGAAAAAACGGGTATCATTTAAAATGTAAGAAAATGCTGTTCAATAATATTACATTGACATGTGTTCTTGAGAGATTTTAATAAAAGCTTACACAACAAACTCACTTCTTATTTGGTGTTTCAGCAAAGCATTTCAAAGAGGAAGTTTCCACAACTGTCTCGCAAAACGCTACAACAGGATCAGCAACTTTCACATCTGATTAAAAAATATATATACAATTACTTCAACTACAACTGGCATAACATGTAAGGAACATTACGTAATAATTATAGCATATATATATATATATATATATACTATGCCCCCAAGTGCCCTGGTACGGCCGAGAATGGGGAAAGTCAACTCTCCCTCTCGAAGTGCTTTCACACGGCTACGCGTATATAACCACTGCCTGGGTAGTCATACTCACTAACTTCTCACGGTAAAGATGTGGTTTACGAAATTGAGAGGACGAAAAGCGAATGTCAGGCGCTTTAAACCGGTTGGTGGACACGGAGGGTTCACTTAGGAGAGTGGGAAAACCCTGATTCCAAATCAATGGTGCACATGGACTCCAGTATCCTGAGGGAACAAATAGCGTACGAACCAATTATTGGTCACTGGTTAACATGGGACTGAATTTCCTGACGTTGCTCCACTGCCTTAAGGATTAGACCTTTAGGTCGAAGGCTCCGGGTGTTGTCCCCTAAGAAAACCACCTGCTTCGGTCCGGGTACCCGGGCAGCATCACAACCGACACAAAAATCAAGTGACTTGAGTGGGGCATATGTATTCGGTGCCCTTTTGTACCAATATTTATGTCTTAAAATAAATAAATAATATTATGGTATATGCAAAATACTGGTAAAATTAAAAAACGATGGCTTGTTAGAATTCTCAAATAACAATAATTTATTTTCAGCTAAACTGTGGACAATGAGCCGATTATCCACTATGATTCAGTCTAATTTTAGGTTCCGAAATAGCTAAGTGGATGGTGAAAACAAACAAACAAACCAGCTTATATGCGGCACACACTCTTTAGACCTTGGAAAAAAGAGAAGTTAGAATGACTGTGATTGAGCAAGTACTTCAGAAACTTTATTAAGGCCAAGTAGATTGAACAATCTTTAGTTGTACGAACAGTTATGACTTTTGAACATTAACTAAGTAAAACGGAGAAAGGATCAGTATTACATCATTGACCATCGATTTCACGAAACTCAGCAACAACTCATGCCATAAAAATAGTGGTAGATTGTTACATGAGAAATTGAACAGAACAGTAGCTCGGCGATTTAAGTACAGAATGCTAACTGTTATTATCTTTTTATGGTTACGAAGAGCAGAAACTTGAAATTATGAATTTTTTGCAGTTCCTCATTGATAGGTTTATGTTTCGAGCTTATTATTAGGAAAAGTCGGTAAAAATTCTATTATGATCATTTTATTTGTACGCAAAACGACTTTAGTGATAAACTGAAGGAAACATCGAGGAAATCTGCATAGGATGCACATATGCCAATAAGAGATTGATTAGTTGCAGTCCTAAACACGGAGGCAAAGATTCAAGCAACCAATACAAAAATGAATTAAACTTTAGTGATAGTTTAAAATTTCCTGAAAACTTACCGATATCAGAGTAGAGCTTGCGCAAATCGTGCATAACACAATCTAAATACAATTCACCAGTACCACGAATGACACGTTCACCTGATTCTTCAACCTTGGTGGCGAGGAGAGGATAACTTTTATTAACCTGAAATGGGGGAATTATTATAAAGTGGTCAAAATCATATTCATATGTAACATTAAGTCAATAAATCTATCAAGCAACATAATTTATAGTCTAAGTAGATAATAAGGGTTTACATGTGACATGGAACTGCGAAGAAATGTATAAGATGTTTCAGTTTACAGGGAAATCACTAGAGAACCATCTAGCTACTTCATTCAATGGTGTTTAATTTGGCAAATCATAACACCTACGTTTTCTCTCACAAAGTCCCTTTTAACTATGTGATAGACCAAGATATATGCGATGACGATCAATAAAGACAAAACTTATTAAAAACAACTTTAATTAGAAAAGATTTCAAAAAACACGAAAAGAATTATCGGAACCCAGGAGGTTACTTACTTTTCTGAGACCATCCAACAATTTAGGTAACTCAGAAGGATTGGCAGGTTCCACGGCAATCTTAACAACTGAAGAAGTATTGAAGTTTAAGGGTCTGAATATATATGCTCCACGGGCATCCGCTGATGTTAATGTAGCTGTTTTCACAATAGGATGATCGACACCCTCAATCAACACCCAATTACCCGCTGGTACCCGATTCACCTCCAGCTGGTAACTTGAAAATGGAAGGATTGAGTTAAAAAAAGAGAACACGAAGAGTTACTTAAAATTATTCCAAAAAATGGAGACACAAAGATTGCTACATTACGTGGCTTTTATGAAAATTAACGTGCTTGAAGAAGTCTCAAACTTTTCCAGACATCAAAATTGAAAGATAGTGAATATATAAACCAAGAAATCACTAACTCAAACAGAATATTATCAGTCTGTTGAGTATGATCTAACTTGAAAATGGTATTCATCAAGTAATTAATTTACTATTTTTAAACACTTGAATCAAAAAACAACCTTGAATATTTAATAGCCGTGCCTAGGATTCCCGAAAATACAAAGCACGTATCCAATTTTTAATAAACGGGTTTACTATATGGAACATGGAATAAGGTAAATTAAAACAATTTTTCGGTATTGTTCAATTTTTTAATGGCCATTTACAGTTGATATAAACAAAAACAGTCTAATTTCTATAGAGCTTCTTTACGATCAGGTTGTTTAATTTAGCGTAACAGAAATTAAGATGAAAATTTACACCACATATTTCAGTTTGTGGTTTGCACGAATCGTTTAGTGGAAATCACTAGTTTGAAAGTGATTTTTCTAAATACATATCATAGGCATTAAGAAGAGTAAATTAACACGACTGTATCTAAAGGAGTGGAATATTTATTGGTCTAAAAGATTTTATTTAACCGCTGTAAATAAAAATTTACTTACAGCATACAAGTACATTGCAACTGTTTCTTGGTTTTTTTAATGTTGACATGGTACTTTAAATATATGAAATACAAAGAGACTGAATAGATGAACACTTATTGTCTGAAAAATCTAGACAATAATTAGACAACCGACAAATCACTGGTTAATAATGATACCTTGCACCACATAAAATTCGTAGTTATTTATGACAGGAAGTGATTGGTTTATTAAGACGGTAGGGAATGCCATGATTGGTGCTTTTCAACACTGTAATACACCGGTTAGTAAGATATGAAATACTCAGGTAAATTAGTTTACCAAGTGATCAAATATAAATCTTGCTCTGACATTGTCCCTATCATAGATACACACCTGATAAATATGATATTGACATAAGCATGTTGACTTGAATCAAATTTAATTGTGCCGTGAAAATCTTAGATCATTTTAATTGTTTGTTTATTCATATCTGAACAAGCTAGTAATATTTTAGACCATCAAGTTACAGGATGACCAAGGAGCCTACTATACTAGTAGACATGTATTTCACTAATAGTCTTAAATGTATTTCATTCGAAAGTAACATAGCATAGATAGATCTTGTTAAAACAGTCTTAGACAACAAACTAACGGCCGAATAGGAAACCAGTAGACATATTTTGTTATGTGGAGAATAAATATATTTGAATTATATAAGCTGTAATATATATCACCCTAAAATGTATAAAATTCCATGAATTTTTCTTCTCCCAGAAGTTTATCGGAGAATTTGATATTTGTCAAATTTTAGATCAAGTTACATTTTATCTACTTTCTAAACGTAGCATACAACAGTGTTTATGGATATTTATATAGTAAATACTGAAACAGGGTCATGCGGTGAAATGAGATAGCTTGACCATTAAATACTTGCTAAAGACTCCAGAAAACTTCACATTTGAAATCCCTTCAACTTGGAACCCAAACAAATAGAATTTGTTGTGAAGTAACTACTCACCGCGCGATAGATACCCACAAACGGCCAACTGTAGCTGGTCGTGAATCTTCTTCATCAGAAAGTGTGTAGTTTTCGCCTAAAACACGGACGGTTTGACCAGCAAATAAGGTACCACACATAACTCGTCCAAAAACATGAAAAGAGATAGCTTCTTGATCAGGATAAAGTTTGGTAGTATGAACCATTACATGTTCGTAATTCATGTTGCATTTTATCATGGCACGTCCGAGATCGTTATCTAGTGTGCCAGTATACGTTGATCCCACTTTAGTTGCGGCTGAGTTAACCGGACTTGGTATATGTTCTGCACACATATTCACAAATCCTAAAAAAAACGAAATGAAATTTTGAAGGTACAGATCCAAGAATCATACACTGAACTTTTTGATACTAAGTTCTAAACATATAGGCATTAATGATATCCTGTATAGGAAATATTCAATGACTTAAACTCTGCTATCTAGCAATATGAAAGATTGACTGCTTAGAAGTAGTGAACAACGACCTAATATCTATCATGAGATAACGTGGATGGCTTTCCCTCGATTTTTACTGAGACATTCTTATCTTTTAGGTACCTGGGACTGATGCAAGGAATATTATACCTTATGTCATAGGGGAAATAAAATCCACACGAAAAGGAAAGAAACATCGTAACATTGACTGGAATATGGAAACAAATCAAGAAACGCTTTCAGACAAAACAACTACAACGAGGATACTTCCAAACTTACCAGAGAAATCGCCAAAGAATCGTTTAAATATCAAACGCAAAAGTGGGCGTATATTCAGTTTCATTTCGGATTTCGTTAAATAGATACCCAACTCTGAACATAATGACGGCAAGCAAGTATCAACATCGCCAACAGTTTGAGCAAAAATCTTATATAAAGGTTCCAGAATAAAATCTACAAATGTTCGTTGTGAATTCGCAGAAGGTGGCCGTTTTTGAAATCTTCTTCTGTAATAGATTTAAAGTAAATTTGACAGTATTCCTTTTAAATCCGATGCAAAATCAAGTTATACTATGAGGCTCATAACCACAAAGCTAAAGTGATCCACTTGTTTATCAGTACAAATAGTTTTAGATGAAGGTTATAGGCATAAACCAGGCTCTCAATGGTTGCGTAACTTAGAACGGCTCGTAGTCTGAATAAAATTCCAAAATCTCCAAAATCCCTATGCTGATAATCTTCAGAAATTTGTCAAAAAACGTGAGCAATAATGGCCATCGAGTCCAATATTTTTTGTGTATAACGATGACAGTTAAAGCTTATAAAAATGACGAGGACGGCAAATTAATGATTAAAACACGGCTTTTAATTAGTAAGTCACAGATTCAAACTCTCATCACCTACATTGGTTTGAACAGCTGAGTGGTATCATTAATACTCACAAGCAGTGTGACCTATAGCTCAGTATATAAACTTGTAGCTAGAAAACGAGTCCTTTCATGAAAGCAATTAGTAATTTATCGAAAAATGAGAATTTCAGATAGAGAGGTATACTGAACATTATCATATCACTCAATCTATAAAGACAAATAATCAAAATAATAGGAGGGGTAAGAAACAATGTATAGCACACTAAATCGAAACTGATATATACATAATTTTTATTGAAATAACTGCATAACAGATCTACTATGGTAGGATCACTTTGTATCATTGGTTTAGAAACAATTTCCTGCTGAGGTTTGGGCACCCGGGCAGTATCACAGCACTCACACATATTAAATGTGATCTGTGTAGCGCATATGTATTTGGTACCTCCTTGTACCAATATATATATGTTCAAATAAATATGTAAATTAGAAACAATTAAAAGATGGACAACACAAGTGAATCAGAATGTAATTATTTCGCACTTAAGAAATCTAGATCATTCAAACTAATGCTCACTGATAAAGAGATTGGCAACATGGAAGACTAACAAGAATTTCATACAGACCGTACCATAGTAAGTCCAGACTACTTACAAATAGTAACAGAAATTAAAAGATTAGTGCATATTTAAATGAAATATTAATAAATCTTACGTTTTAGAATTAAAATATATATCACCCCATAAACGTCCAGCGAATTCTTTGTGATCCATACCGTTAGAAAATGTATCCATATATATTCTCGCAAATGATTCCAAAGTAAAACAGAATCGGTAATAAGTACTTGCGAAGCATACATTTCCCAATAATGGGCTGACAACAGGTTGTGTATCATCCGTAATACCTGGAGACGTATGAGATAAAACTAAATTGACTGTTTCTAATATCAGTTTAGCTAGAAAAATATTAAATATCAGTAACATTGTCTGTTTCCTTACATCCCATCTGTTAATATAAGATTATCTTCGAGAAAATTCCAGTAGTTCAGTCGAATGTGCAGGGATGCAAGTTAGAGATGCCTGACTTTTCCATCATTTTTAGATATAACAAACTTTAGGAGGGAAAGACTAATTAGGAGCACAATGGCTCCGAGAACATAACCAGATGAAGTAAACCCAAACAAGTAATTCCATGAGATAATAAAGCGGGCCATATATATATATATATATATATATATATATATATATATATATATATATGGCGACTACGAAAGATTTAATATTTTCAACAGAATGAAAATATTTGACTAATAATTTGGCAAAAAGATAAAACTGGATCATATCAAAATCGAATATAACACAGAACATAGCGAAGAAAAACATGCAATCTTCCTAGAAAAATAAATTGATAGAAATTTACCTGCACCTTCAGAATAAGTCAGAAGAATTGAATTTACTTCATCAATTATGTGCTTGATTTTGTAATACGCATCCATTGGTGGCAATTTTAGTTCAATTATGAGACGATCTATTTTGTTGATGCACAGTGTTACCGGTAGTCGTTCTTGTAGAGCATGTTTAAGAATACGTTCGGTGTTTAAAAGTACACCTTCGCTGACGTCCACCAACAGACAGATTCCATCAGCGAGTCGAAATGCAGCAGTTACTTCATCGGAAAAATTGACGTGACCTAAATTACAAACACATTTTGAAAAACTGATCGATCAAATCAGGAGAAAATTTTAATGGGTCATTAAGTATATTTTCTGGATCAATGCTTTTATATACATTCACAGTACTTAAAACAAATGGGTTAGAGCGGAAAAACACTGTTTGACTGAATACAGTGATCCCAAAAAGGTAGAAATAGGGTTAATTCGACTTTGAAATGAAACGAGATACCTACAAGTGTAATGAACGAAGATTTAAGAGGGGGAAAACAGTTATATTATACAAAATTAATGTTTGTAAAATATGAAAACAATTCACTAAATACCACCACCTTCACTGAATTGTTCTTTAAAAACTCCATCGTCCTTCCGTCCCTGTTGTTATTTTGATCGTTTTACATTTTCCTTTTTGTTCTTTTTATTTTCCTTTTTCTGTCAGTAAGAATTCTACTTCCAGTTCCTGATACTACTTATATCTGTCCATTTAAGTAACACATACCACACAAGGAATAACCAAGGACTGGTAGTTATACAGATGAATATTAAATCACAGTATATTACAGAAAGATACAAATAATGGAGTTGGTGCTTATTCATTCGGGGATTTTTGGATTATGAAGATATACTGAGTTACTGAGAAAATTTGGTAAAAGAATAATCTCTAAGATGAGCATATTGTTTATGAACCGAAGAAAACCCCAAGAACCTTAGATTTCTGTCTTCTGATGTTAAAATACCTTCGTTGTACAGTATCTAAGCCTACGGAGGATCACCTGGGACCAGTTACTCACAAGAGATCCCGTCTTAGTCTTTCTGAATTCAAAGACTTCCAACCCTGTAATACAACTCACATTACCTGGGACGAAAGTTTACTTGATCATGTTTTAGAAGCTGAAGATTGTTGTTCGCAGAGTATTGAATTCTCAATCTACATTGGTCCGGAGAGTCAGAGAGTACCACTAACCCGGAAAATAGGCAGTGCCAGCCACAACTTGGCATCTCTCTTCATAAATGTAAGTTGTTTTAAAAACCAAAATTGCTAACCTCATGGTTCTAGCCTTGTGGTTTTTCACGACTCTCTAAATTCTTCAAAATAAAAAAAGCATGAATGTTTAACTTCACCTGGAGCCTATCCAGGATTACTAACGCTACCAAAACAGGGTGAAGGATGGTTAAAGTTGAGGTTGTTAACTAAAGCCCATTACAAAAACGCCGACCAGAGAAAAGAATTAAAATCAATTAAACTCAGCCCTGGGAGTTGAAGGACCTCCATTTGGTAAATATGGTTAGGCAGAGCGACCAGTCACAAGTAAGGAAGACAAACTAATACTAAAACTTAAGAGCAGCGGGACAGCCTCACTAAGCTCACTGGAAATCGAAACAGCACACGTAGACCTTCATACACATGATACCTCACTAAGAATAGAAATCAGCAAGGTTACCAAACAAATCAAGTGTGGGAAAGCAACGGGATCAAGTGCCATACCAACTGAAGCTAAATACAGAAGTAACTGCAAAGACGCATGCTCCTTACAGAAAGGTTTGGAAAGAACAAGTAAAAAACTGGAAAGAAGGACACCTCATCAAGATACCGATGAAAAGAGAGCTACAGAGAAACCATGATACTGTCAGGACCAGGCAGTTTTTAACAGAGCGTCGCTGAAGTAGGTGAAAGATACAGTACACATCTGACCTTGCATCAACAAGCTGGCTTTCATAAGGATAGATCATGTGTCAACAAAATCGCGATACAGTGGATGATTGATGAACAATCAATTAGATGGAACTCACCATTATACTTAAATTTCCTTGATTATGAGAGAGTATTCGACGGTGTGGGTCGAAAAGGTTGTGGAATCTTCCTCAATATTTTGGAGCACTTGGAAAAATTGTCACTACTATACGAAACTCCTAAGCAGGACTGAACTGCAAGGTCATGCATAGGGGGTAGCTCAAAGATGAATTTTAAATAAATGCTGATGTCAGACAGAATTACATATTCCCACCTTTATCCCTGTTGTTGACTGGATTATGAAGAATTCCATATCTCAGAAGTAAGAAATACATTGAACATTTTGGACGAAGTTGGACGATTAGGCATTTGCATGTGACCTATTTCTTTCTATACACAGTAAAAAAAACAAATACTATCAGTATAGCAGTGGCCTCCATGGCAGTTGGCTTCAGTATTCCTAAAGGAAAAAGCAAGATCTCGAAAACGCGACAGTGAGCACCGACCAAATCACTTGATGGAGGAGCTCTGGAAGAGGTGGAAACCTTTAAGGACTCGGGGAGCATCATTGATAAAAACACGATCTGATGGAAGTACCGACAAACAAATTGGCGAAGCAAGGGCAACATTTCTATAATTAAAGAATATCTGGAACTCAAAACAACTGTCACTCAAGACCAAAGTCAGAATTATACTGAGCTGGAACTTGAGTGATTGCCACCACCATCACTAAGAGAGTGTGGTGTGTGCCACTGATGTCACCAGATATAGGTAGTATGTATCATCAATCGAAAGTGAAATGCCTGGTGGCGAAAGTTTAAGAAGATCGAAGAGAACGAGAACAGAGAATGATTGCTGTGGAAACAAAGGAACAATCAAGTCTGAGACGATTGATTGACATTTTGCTAATCAAGCATTTACTGTATGGTTCTCAGATTTTACTAGGAGGTTCTGTGCTTTTGTGTTCAAATACATTCAATTGCTCCAATTGTGTTCTTATTCACTACAAGAGTATAAGTATTCATAAACAACTGTCTAAGCAAGATTCTACAAATCCACCGACCACAGACCAGAAGCAATAACCTGCTCTAAAAGAGAATAAGCTGACTCCCAGTTGAGGAAAAGATGCTAGTGATGGATAAGACATACTGAAGAAATCAAAGTGCATCCCAGGGTATGCCTTAACTTGGAGTCCTCAGGACAAAAGTAAAGGAGATGGAGAACTGGAAGTAGATATCAAGAGTATGAATAGCACCCGGGAACAACTGGAAAGAAGAGTCCAAGACAAAGTTGGTTGGAGATTCCTCGTTGAGGGATTGCGTTTCAATAGGGATAACAGGCCTAAGTGTAAACTGCTAAGGCGATCACAAAAATACTTAAATTTTGTCAACAATGCTGAGATCCTTTCACCAACAATAATTGCTTGTTCATTTCTCTTAATTAGATTTTCCGCATGACCTTTGCCTTTTAGGGCTAGTTGTTATTAGTTTCAGTTGGCTAAATTTATGTATGCTTAAAGGTCGTGTTTTGTTACTATATATGCAGGGTTGTACCAATTCGTTTTGTACTGCTTGTCCTACCTCAAATACCGAATCCCCTAAAATTCATTTTCTCCCTGTGTTAGACGTCAGGTGTTGATGTGTTGTGTAAACTGCGGTCGTCTATTGTGAAGAGAACTGATCGTATTAGAGTAGCTCAACCACTGTCTCGAGATCTGTAATTGTTGTAGGTCCATTCCTAACCCTAACAAAGTGACACAAGATAAACATTTAAATATAAACGTGTATATTTATCTACCTTCGTCATTCAAAGTAAACAAAGCCGCAAGTCGAAATACCAATTTTGAAAACTACGAATTGATTTACCCATCAATGAGCGGATACTGTACAAGGAGCTTTGTCAAAGAATCTTCAAGTTAACATTTTGAAGTGCTCCAGTAACCATCTAGCCTATATAAACAGTACACAACCCAATACATATCAGGGAAACAATACATTTGGAAAAATCATTTTCCTAGTAAATGACCGAAATGAGTTATTCAAGAGAGACTGAAGACTTAGATGTACTGAAAAGATAGCTACGTTATCTAACTTCAAATTTACGAAGAACATTGGAAATAACACCTTTACTAGAACTCACAAACTGATTGAATGTTTATTGCTAGTTTAAAATTAAAGTAGTCGGAAATATCATGAGTCATAGGCACAAGAATAGAAGAAACCAAACACCAGATAAATATGACATGTTTAGTAAAAATAAGATATACGTAAACCAAATACATTTTGAATTCTGTTTCGTGTTTTCAGGATTCGTTAGTCGAAAACAGTTAACGATGTTTAGTTGAACAGAAGAATCGAGGAGTCAGCTTCACACAAACTCAGTGTTTCTATCAATAACACGGAACTAACGAATTTCGTCTCTGATGCATTATGCGGTGCAAACATAAACAAATTAATGTGTGAAATGTCTCAACCAACCTGGTGTATCAAATATGTTAAACAGATACGACTTTTCTTGCATGCTGCGCAGCACCAAGGAGACTGGAGTAGATTTTATACTCAGCCCTCTTTCTACCTCCATGTGCAAGAAATCAGTGTACCTGAGCTGTAAAGTACAATTAGAAATTTGTGTATATAATATACCAAACGAAGAATAGATAAAATGTTTTTATCAACAAGAACAAAATTAGTTAAACTGATTTTTAAAAACAATAAACATAAAGCTAAGTAATATTAGTTAGGAATGCTGAATCATGAAATCATTGTTGTTTCAAAGTCAATCAGTTTACAAAATAAGTCTTAGAATAAACAAAAATAAGGATGGATAAGAAAGAGAATAATTCGATCACATAAAATAGCCTTGCTATCCAAACTTGTGATAAGCATCGCACTAACCATTTAGTATATAAAGTAGCTAGATAGTTTCTTTTGACAGGGCAACATTTCGTCAATTGAGTAAATTTTGAGTTTAAGAAAAAAAGTGATTTATGTTGAAACACAGAGATGAAACTATACCCGTAGTATAAAGACAAAAAATAGGGAACATTCATCGGCTCATGTCATCAAACGAACATTCCCAAAACAAGAATTAAATTACATCCACTTCCATGGTCGAGTTCCATTGGGTACTCGGAAATGCATAACAAAACATTACTATAACACTAAAGTGTAACAAGCAAACAATCGTTAGAACATGTAAATACAGGCTGAAACTATAAATACTGCTAGTGATTGTAAGTTTTCATTTTATTTGCCAGCCTCTTGTTTTGTTGTCTACTACAAATCTTTATTGAAACAATCAGTCAGCTACAGAGTAGGACCAGACAGATATATGCATCGGTCCAAGTTGCCATATCTCATCAGTACAACAAGATGAACACCAAGTTCATAGAACCAGTTACTTCAGTAGTAGTAAACAAAGATTCCGTATAAGGATATGATGCAGGAGAAATTAGTTCATAAAAAGTGAGGTATAAAGTAATTTCAATCTCACTGTTTAAGGGCAGACCAGAAGTTAATGACTTTATGGACTGATGCTACGTTTTGGTTTGATCGACCCTAACCTATCTGTCTCCAACACCAGTCAGCATTGCGCGCTGTAATAATAGGTGGTCGGGCATGCGTAATACGTGGCCCAACCATCTAAGTCGGTGAAGATTTACAACCTCATCAATCGATTTACCATCATTCCCTAATACTCTGCGTCTAACCCCACTATTACTTACCCGGTGATCCCAACAGATGCTGGCAATATTCCTAAGACATCTGTGATCAAATGCTAGTAACTTGCAAGTGTCTTCTACTCTTGATGACCACGTTTCACAGCCATAAAGTAAAACAAAACGAACTGCTGAGCAGTATACTCGTGCCTTAATTGATAGACGGATATATCGCCTAAGCCATAGATGACGTAAGTTGGCAAAAGCCAGATGAGCTTTTTGAATCTGTGCTGAGATTTATTCAGACACCAACCCATTGGGGCTGATTAGACTTCCAAGATAAACGAAGTTGTCGATGCGTTCGACTACTTTACTCCCTATCCTTAGTTCAGATGTTGACGCAGGCCAGTTCTGACGCAACAACTTGCATTTAGAGGGGGAGGAACGCATCCCAGACATGATAGCACTGTTGCTCAGTACTACCAATAAACTGCATTTTATCGGCGTCTTCATCATCTGCGTATTCTAAGTCGATAAGTGGACCTCCTGGAGGGAGATCAATGCCCGAAAATTCAGACGAAGAGAGCGTTATTCCCAGCAGTAGGTCTATGAAGTTGAACAAAAATGGAAATAGGGGACAGTCTTGCCGGACACCACTTGGGGTTGCAAAATCAGATGACAGTTCGCCGCAAGCTCCGACTATACTGGTACTGTTCAAGTAAAGAGCCTTCACGAAGTTTATGTACTTCTGAGGTACACCTTTCAATGACAGACACTACCACAGAACCTCTCGGTCTACAGAGTCAAATGCTGCTTTTAAGTTGAGAAAAACTATCGTTGTCGGACGCCAATAAGCATGCTTGTGTTCTAGAACCCGACGAAGGGTGAAGATGTGGTCGATGCAGCCACGATCAGGTTTGAAGGTGGCCTGATTTCCTCGTGTTTGCAGTTCACGCGTCTTTGTTAGGCGTCCGATAATCATTGAGGCTAGTATCTCAGACACTATATTACTTAAACTAGCCCTCTATAATTATCACAGGATGATTTTGACTCCTGTGTTGCGACCACTCAGATGGGATTATGTCCAACTCCCAGATTTTCTTAAATAGAGCAAGATCAAAGATTGGTGCAGAATAATATGAATTCATTTTATTTCGTTAGGTTCTCATCAGCTGCTTACAACCTAAATTATTTGAAAATTCAAATTATTACAGATATTGACATATTTATATATAAGAGTGTGATTAAGAATCAATACATGTGTATGATGATGTAGCGAAGATTCAGATAGAGTTAATGAGCCGAAAGAAATTACAGCAAATAAAAAGCCTATTTTTATTAAACTTCAATTCAAAGGTGACGATGTCACAGGATCAATCAATATGAGATTAAAAACTGCACTGACAAGAACTTATCCTGCAGCGAAATTGATTGTCCTGTCCAAAACAACATGCTCTTTGACACAATCAACGGTCGACAGGTATCCCTTTCATGTTACCACCAACTGTGTATACAAATTTACATGTACCTGCCAAAGCAGTTACATTGGTAGAACAGAAAGGAGAGCCTACGTCCGATTCAAAGAACATATTCCGAAAAGGTTAAGAATAAATGGATTGAACGCATTCAACAGTGCCATCGCAAGACATCTCCTTGATACAGGGCATGAAGTTGATATACTGAAGTCCTTCAAGGTGATTAACAAACAATCAAACTCGAACCTTTTGAAATTCGCTGAAGCGTTAGCAATCAAACGTTTAAAACCAGATCTATGTATACAAAAAGAAACAGTAATAAATCTTTCTTTACCCTGGTAACAATAACCCCCACTCTTTCTATTAATTTGCTCCTATTTATTTATTTATTACGTCATTATTGCAACTCTTTCTGAAATATAAATTACATCATACATAAATGATTTATTTCAATTCATATTTTCTTTATTACCATTAATCTATTTTCATGAGTTCTAATCACTATTTCAATGTTCCAGAACTTTCCCTCTCAAACTTTATTTATTTATTCGAATCAAACATTTTATGAGCTCATTAACTCTATCTGAATCTTCGCTACATCATCATACACATGTATTGATCCTTAATCACACTCTTATGTATAAATATGTCAATATCTGTATTAATGTTGAATTTTAAATAATTTCGGTTGTAAGCAGCTGATGAGAACCTAACGAAATAAAATGAATTCATATTATTCTGCACCAATCTTTGTTCTTGCTCTATTTAAGATAATAAAGGGAACTATGTGTATGAAAATTCCCAGATTTTCGCTGAAATATTAGTCAACCTAACCGCTTAAACTAGACCATCATCCTTAAAGACCTTTGAATCCAATCCTTCTCTCAGATTAACTATAGCTCTCTGAACGTCACTTAGAGTCGGGGGACCTACTTCAATGTTCCATTCAGGCTGTTTAGAAATAGTGGTTAGTTGCAGAGTAGCTGAAGGCCGGTTGAACTGCTCTTTAGAGTGTTCCGCCCATCATTCTAAACGTCTGGGTTGAGAGCAGATAAGAGTATCGTCTTTTTCCGAGATCGTCTCACACTTAACCTCTTAATTCCAGTTTCTTTTATTAGTCTGAAAAGCCGTCTGGTGTTACCTACAGTCGCTACCTTTTCCATCTATTTTGCTTTCGTTGCCCACCACTGCTCACCGTCGTTAGAGAATAAACATTAATTATCAAATGAGGAATAAAAATTGGAATGAAGCTTAGCAGAACTATGTTGCTAAACTGAACAGTAGAGATAGTTTATGAAAATATGACTAGACTATCTACAGTGACGTATCAACACTATAACCAACTGCATTAGAATGCCTCGGATTTGACTTGCATTACACATTACGAGTCACTAGGTACTGAAAAGACAACCATTAGCTTAGATTCACATTACAAAATTATGAATGACTACAGCAAAGTATGGTGGTAATCTAAGTTAATGAATGTTGGTCTTGTTTCATGTTCTTTTTTTGTCTTGACAATTTTCCGTTCTATTGGGAACTGTGACGACGGGTACAAATGTACTTTCATAAGGTGACATGTCAGTTTGAGATTAGTCATCTCTTGTAAAGTCTGCGCTTAGCTTGTTACTATTAGTAGAAGGATTTCATTGAATTTATTGATCAAAGACGATATATTTCTATTAAGTACTTACATTTTTGTCTTCTTTCGCTTCAATATCAGGGTGAGTAAGTTCTATCAAACAGTCCATGAAGGAAGTCTGTAAAGTTCTAATTCAAGAAAAATTTCGGACATACTTTGCCATGATGCAAATGTCCACAAAGAACAACGTTGCGAATCAATTCCGGACAATCCATAAGATCAGCCAAGAATTCAGGGTCGTACGTTGTCGTTGGAATTGATGCTTCAGTGTAAGCAAACTTTTTGCGGCGAACTGGTTCTATTAATGGTTGTGTTAACGGCTGGGCATCTTCTTCCTGTACTAAGGTTTCAACCTCGGGACCATAGACTTCTAGTGCACTTGGATAATACTTTTTATCTTCATGAAGAATAACCTGAAACCAGAATTTGCACGAGATGTATAAACGTAGTTGCCGTGAGTTAAGATCCTAGAAAAAACTAATCTCAATTAGATGAGCTTACAGAATACGACAGGACGCTAAATACGAGTTATTCAGTAGAAAAACATATTGATATGCAAAACCTATATATCATTTGGTTTCTGCTTGGGAGAACCCTATTATCTAAGATATCACTAATTTACAAGTACTACAATTCAATAAATATAGGGTTTGGGTGACACAATTGTTTATATACACTGACAAGTTGGAGGAAACAGTGAAGCGATACTATTAGCTGCACAAAGAAACATTGAATGAATATATTTAGTTAGTTGCTGAAGACTGAATACCGGCTGAACTGCTACTTAAAGTGTTCCGCCCATCATTCTAAACGTCTGGGTTGAGAGCAGATAAGAGTATCGTCTTTTTCCGAGATCGTCTCACACTTAACCTCTTAATTCCAGTTTCTTTTATTAGTCTGAAAAGCCGTCTGGTGTTACCTACAGTCGCTACCTTTTCCATCTATTTTGCTTTCGTTGCCCACCACTGCTCACCGTCGTTAGAGAATAAACATTAATTATCAAATGAGGAATAAAAATTGGAATGAAGCTTAGCAGAACTATGTTGCTAAACTGAACAGTAGAGATAGTTTGTGAAAATATGACTATATATATGGGAATACGTAGTATTTCACGAAGCATAGTTATAATCACAACTGGATTTTTATAACTTTAATGACCACATATGAACAATCCACCTAACAAAGTGGAGAACCAGAGGAAACTACCGGCACAAGCAAAATAATGATGTCGGACCACTTCAAGGTTTGAGGAATCTTATTTGAAAAACTAAGCGTAGATCCCGCTGGATTGAAGTTTCTTTTGAATATGTTTCTCCGTAATTTGTGTGACATTTATCAGTATATCAGTGTCCGAAATGTTAACTGTATTTATACACAACGTCTGGTTGCACCCATTTGTGCTCCATTGTTCTGACGAGCAGAATAGATCCATAATTTACTGACTAGTGTGTCGTGACATTTTAGAGCTTAACCTAACTTACAGCCAAACTTTCTTCTTGTACATCATTTGTTTCAATGTGATTAACAGCATCCTGAGCTATATCTTCCTCCTCGGTACCTTCATCGTCAACACTATTTACATCGTCCTCCACCTCTTCGTCAGATAAAAGATCAGGCCCAATGTAATTCCCGAATTCATCATATAAATCCGTATCCATTTTATAATCAAACAAGATAGTGAAGTTGATGATTGTGTCAACTGAAGTGCAGACTTCTAAAATACAGATAAAAGAGAACTAAAGTAATCAATCATGAAACCCGAAACAGCTGAAAAGAGCAAGAACATGAAGTTCAATTCACAAGAACATTGAAACCTAGAAGTACCCTTATCATAAAAAACCACTCGTACTCATATTCAGTACAAAGAATACCCAGTTGTTCTGTGACACTAAGTAAATGCATTCAGTACACCGAAAGCTATATGACTATCATTCTGCAATAAACATGGGATTTGAAACACAGATATGTCCAAGTTACCACATTTCATATAAAGATGAGCTGGAACTAAAATAAGGATGATGATAATAATGACAAACGATGTGGTGAGCTGAACACGGGATATAGTTAAGGAAAAACAGATTAGTTCGGCAAGTAAATATAAAGTATGTTTCGGATTTGGTGGGTAGCATAATAAATATGTGCTGGTCATGTCCTTTTTAACAGCTGAATTGGTCATACAACAGGGCAAAACAAATTAACAAAGGATTTCTACTTTCTTGGTTTATTAAGTCAATATTATAACTGGATACAAGTGGATTGTTAATTATAACGATACCTATTTTTATATACCAGTTTATGATATAAAGGGTTCAATTAGCTTGCCAAAATCGAGATGGGTGACAGAGGCCGTAAATATACAACTTATTAGATAAATTTCAATTGAACCACCCACTGAACTACAGGCACTAAATAGTCGGACCCAAAGGTACCATTTACTAAGAATGATGTGACGGAAATGGAACGAGTTTCATGTTCCGTTGGTAACTTGTGACGGTTAGAGTTTTGCAAAATGGTATATGTGTAAATTTTACTGTAAAAGCTCTCTTTTTGTTTTGTACTGAGCTACTCGATCAGTTGACTGGCGTTGGAGTACACCTCTCGATAACATGCGTATAAATTAGCTTTCTACAAACCGCAACCGGGCAGACATATATATATATATATGTATATCCAACCAATAATTTCGAATCAAATGTCACTTTTATTTAACTGTGTTGCTAATGCTGCAAATTTTAAATGACTTTAGTAACGTCAAAGCTATATTAAAATACAGGACGATATTATATGAAAGACAAAATACAAGTTCACATCACTGCTAAAATCTGAAGCTGTGGCAAAAACGCCGTAGTAAAACTACGGAAGGCCATTAAATATCTCAGGCGCTAAGTATCAATTTCTTAAATATTTACAACCTATTAGCTAAGTTTCAATTGCCTCAGTTCACCCTAACTTAGGATTCATTCAGTTACAATCGTGAAACATTCCTGCCCTATAAGCTTCAATTAAAAGTCAACAACGACAAACACTAGGGCGACAAAATCTAGCTGACTCACCAAAAACACAAACAAGGGTAACGTAAAACCCACAACCTCGCCAGAATTTAGTGCGCGGCAATACAAACAAATGGGTCAACAATGTCCAATAACTGAATTAATGAAACTAGTCTGTTATTCACAATTATCACAGTAGTTCTTTAAGATTTATGTTTTTATAGCGTCGATAATCACAGTCGCTATTCAGTGCTTGTTTGTCTATTCAAATAATCAGGGTAATGTTTATTTACCCTTTTATTAAGTTTTTATCATGAAGCCAGACCTACATGCATATTTTGACTCATTGTTTTGTTATTTAAAGCCTTTTTGGAAATAGATAACCACCGTTTATTTGTCTAAAAGTTGTAAATCCATAGTTACAGGCTGTAGATCTCTCAAGGAATGTCTAAACTTACACATACAACTTAGAACATTATATTGTTAACCTTTATTAACAAGATATAAGTAAGTTGGTATTGTGATGATAGAGAGCATAATAAAATTGAAGGACTCAGTGGACAGGATGAAACAATCCTAGTTTGTATCTCACCCAAAGGTTACTGAACTCTTGGGAGTTACAAATTGATGCTACTGTAGGGCCAGTGAAATGTCACTGAGCCCTAGCCAAATCATTCGGCAGTTAGATCACTGAATTTCGAACAGATCGTCGCTTCCTGCCAAGGTCATGTACAACAAACGCGCACTAGTTAATGGTATGCCATGGACTGGCCCATGCGGCAGTGGTCTTACTTTCGCTTGTATCTACTTTAACTAATATATTTCTGTAATAACGTCCTTTGTGTTGTACAGTCTTCAAAGCATCTATAGTACCTTGTTACGTCAATGGGGGTAGTCCACGTAAGGTGCTGACCACGAGGTGTGACTTCGACGTTAGTTGGTTCGTCACACCATTCACGTCTAACTCGAGTAGGCCTCCAATCATTTCGACATAGATCATCTACGTTGGTGATCTACACTGCTTTTTTGACTCATCTGTACTGTTGTTAGTTCATCTTCATATATGCCTAAGCATTCAATCAGATACCCATATATTTTGCCACATCTTTGTATATCACATGGAATAAATGTATCGACGCGTTGTGTCTTTTCTGGATTTAGATAGTGTGGAGATATGACTGGCAAGCTTATTTTGTAAATAGTTTTTAATATTATTTGTATTTGTTTTGTCAATTTTTCACTGTATGTACATTTATCATTAAATGACTACGTGTTGTTTTAGTCAACGACCTTGAACACACTTTCCGTTGTGATTCCAACATAGCGTGACATATTCTTTCTGGCTAACAAATACATTAATACTCACACATCCCTCGTTCTGTTTTCATTCGAGATTGAGTTAACTTAGTTCTAAAACAAATATTATTTACATTCATAGACTGAGAAAGTGAATACATCATATCTTACTTTGGATTACAATACTGGGGAGATCATCGATACGTTTGGAATTACTAAGCATCTATAATTGTGGATTTATTGTACCAGATCAAAGCCAAACACGCATCATTTTGGGTGGACTTAAGTAAAGTCCCATTTTTTATTGTATTTGTAACATTTAACTTGTATATATTAATATTACTATTGGTTGTTATTAACTTTGTTGATATCTTTTGCTTTTATATATTGTCTGGTCCACCACAATAGAAATTTCGGTGACAAATTTTCACGTGGCTTAAGTATTTTGGTGACTACTTCTTTTGAAGGACGTGTTATACTGAGATTTTCATTTTGTCTTGCATATCCGGTATGTTTTACCCAGAAATCTTACTGTTTACTGTTCATTTGACTACCGTGAGCTTACGTTTCTAAATATTTGATACAAGTCCCAACCAGTTTATGATTTTTGTCTTATTTATACTGCTTTAAATACAAATACTCAATAGATAGTTACTTAAGCAATAAATAACAGTTAGGCTAGTCAGATCACTACCTACTGGTGCATAAAATCGTTTCACCAATTATTACAAAACTCTCCTACTTTTCATAGTAATCGTAAACAATCGGAATTATTTGCGAGAGATAGAACCTCAAAGGAACGTAAACATACAAACTGATCCTCCTTTTACACTGGTCACTCAAGTGGTGTGAGTGATCCATACACTCTAGTACGACTTCACATCATTGTTTAGCATGCTCCTTATAAGCATAAATACATTAAATTATAGTCAGTGATATGGCCTCAACTGTTCAAGTCTGAGAATTATATTCTAGTGATACTTGTAACCATAACCAGGCTAACTAATTTGCATCTAAGTGTTTTAACAATGTCCTCAAGACGCAAATAGACTCACTAGCTAGTTGGTCAGAAGCAATATGATCGTTCCCTAACAGCACATGTTCAATCAAAGTTGACTTAGATTGTTCCATTAATGGCAATCCTCACTACCTAGCGCAACATAAACTGATAGATAGTTTAATGTTTGTAAGCATAGAGTCCGAACCCAGTACCTTACGCCGTAAAAATACTAACGCATGACTCTGTAGATATTCTGTAGTTAGTCATGAAAAACAGGATAGCTTGACTTAGACAACCTTGGTTTATTACACTGCAGCTATTTAGTCAACACACCAGAGACCCCTAACTCCATGATATTGAGTGAAACTGAGATAATCTACCATGTATCTTCAGAAATACCTAACAAACTCCAATGCACGTAAAGCACCTGATAGCAATCTAAAATCTGTAAAAACATGCCATCCCAAAATTATATCCCTCCAAACAGCTGGTTATTTTGCGAGAGATTACTTAAGACAAACATATGAATGACTCTAAACATTCTCATTTCTCTGGAACTACCAAAACAGCCTACTTCATTTGTGTCCTTTCACAGTTTGGTCACATCCCAACATTCAAACATGACCCCAAACTAACGTCGTGCTATCAAATCAGGTTTAAGGTCCTTAAGAAGACCACGAAATGGTATTTCCGGCTCTAGGGGCAATCACGGCGCTAGTACGGACAACCATAAAAGTCCATGTCTAGCCCAGAACTTGACTAGCCGTATCAGAGTTATAGGAGATCTGAACAACACACCAATAATCAAAAGTCATTTGTCTTTTGAGTCAATTTTAAGTGGACCTATCTGTTCCAACCTTCATTCCTCTGCTACTACGATTAACCATCGTAAGCAAATTCCTGGAACATATTTGCATCTCGATGATGCTATACCAATCCATCACTATAGAACGCCTATTAGAGATAACCTTAAGTGCCACAAGAAACAGTTTGTCGCTATACACCATGCAAGCACATCTTAAAAAATAGGCTCAAGCAATACCCTATATCTAATTAAAGCAATTGGCAACCCTGAAAACCCAAAAATCAATAAACCCCACGAGACACTACCTAGCTTCTACGATGGTTACCTAGAAACATTTTCTGTGAGACCAATAATTTATGGACTACTTTTGAACGAATCTCAAGTGACCCTGAGAAATACTAACCAAACAGAAAAATGTTAGTACATATATTATACCATTATTATATATCAAAACAAAACCAAAGAATTAAAGTGGGTGCACTTCTTTTACATGGTTCAAGAACCTGTCAAGGTTAGAAAGGGGTCCAGAGGTTCTGAAATCGTAATGCACACGGTGGAGGAAATTATCTGTATGGCTTCATAATAGTCGGCTTCTGGAGCCATGATAAGGTTGCAAAAACTATTTCAACACCGACCACATATCTTTAATATTGTTTGTGTGCACTCCGGTTGTTGGGTCAACAAAACCCCACTTGCGGATAACGATACGATGCACATAACAAGGTCTGTGTAAGCATATGTACGTTCTCCAATCATCCGTATATATATTAGAGTACCCGGCTGCATCCAGTGTTACTAGTGCTTTTATTTATCCAGTTCTCAATAAATTTCATAACTTGCATTTATCTCAATCTGGATCGAGCGAAAAAATTCTATTCTAGCAAATGTCTTCCTCCAACACATTGCATCGAAAGACAACATCATTACGTTATTATACACAAGGTCCACAAGTCATTCGATCATCACGGAATAAAGGAACTTCCTAGTGGTCCTATTTGTTGTAGCCGCTAAATTATCAAGTTTTCATTAAGATCCTCCGTAAACTGATCGTACGTGAGCATTTGGTAATGAAACTGGCGCCGTGACCTTGAAACCTCCCACACGTTTATGACTGGCTCGTCCATAAATTATGGTCTCGCCACATTTTTACCACTACCATCTTAATAATCAGTACAATCCGATGGTTATACCTTCGAATCCACAAGAATAATATCCGCAAAAAATAATGTAAAACTTTCCAGTCCTGTCGATAGCCATTTCAGAACAGGTTTGTTTGTCGGTCCTCCTGATGGCAAGTCACCGGCCCTATACAACTAACTACTTGCCTCATTCAGCTTCGAAAAAACACCTTAAATTTCTATAGACCTCTTTCGGGATGTTATTCTATCCCTAAATGTTAGAGACAATAATTCCACTCGTCTAAAGCCATCCACTACATAATTTGATGGTGTGGTTGGTAAGCCCTTCCATTACTAACAATCATGTAACAAGTTCATGTTTGACCTTTTTGTTAAACCCCCAGATACATCGTTCATCGACCAAACCCATCCCACTTCACCTATTCCTGTGGTTCTTGGGAATGAATTAACCACATGTTCTCGAACGACAACCACAACGCTCTTACGAGGATCATCGGTTAGCTAAGAAGAATCGACTGTAAATCTCAACTATTTAAACGCCTATCTAAATAACTGTTCACTCATTAGGTGAGCTGGTTACTTGTTCCGTTTTAATACCCCTTCACAGTTTTCTAGTATTCGATTTACATCCCGCTCTATCTGGAGTAAGATTTTCCGTCTTAGATCCTTAGCTTACTTGGTCGGTTCATGCTACATTCTAATTACCGAACCCCACTGAAGATGCGATATCTTTGATTTGACACAGTTTAGATGGTCACTACACAAAGAAAAGAACGAATAAGGGGAGGAAAAGCAGATTCATGTAGTTTTAGATCATCTGAGGTACATATTTCGATTTTCTAGTCCTAAAATCGAGTCTGCTTCATGAGATTAATTGCC